TAGTTGGAAATGAAATTGGAATCAAGATTCTTCAGAATCGGAATCGGAATGGTCCATTCCCCTCACATGTTTGGTTCAGACAAAAATGAATTTTAATTCCTAAGGGAAGGGGAGGAAATGACAATTCCCTCAAATGGAGGAATGCCATTCTATTAGGAATGGGAATGAGATTCTAATTCTGTCCAACCAAACAGTTTGAATCGAAATGGACCATTCTGATTCTGACTCCTATTCTTGTAATGTGAACTAAAAGGACCAGTAATTCTTTTAAGCTAAAAAAAAGTAGTTTTTTAAAAAAATTATTTTCTTATTCATTTGAAGATCAGCCTGACCTTGGAATGGTAATACGAGTAATTAATGTTTATGCTGTGTTTGGTTGCAATGCAAATAAATTTGCACTTATGCAAAACCATGGAAGTGCAAATGATTTGAATGTTTTTGACCTATTTTTTGTTTAATATTTTAGCTTCCTTTGTTTGATTGCAATATTAATGAAGTAAATTAAGACATGAAACAGAATAAAATAAAATCGAAAACAGAATTAAATGATAACTTGCATTTTTTCATTTGCACTTCCATGCATTCGTATTAGTGCAAATAAAATTACACTGCAATAGGTACTAGGGCTGTTCGCGGGTCGGGTTGGGTTGGTTTATTGGCGTTTTTCCAACCGACCCGACCTGGTCGGTTTACCTAGAAATGAAACCGAAACCGACCTAGTACTAAGTAAAACTGACTCGGTCGGTTTGAATCGGTTTGGGTCGGTTTTGTGAATGATTCTTTTGGTGTGAACGGTAAAGGATTTCAAGTCTAAGAAAGCAAAGGCTAGATGCCTGGAAATTAAAAATGATTTGATGAATTAAAACTGATATTTTATATATAATTTGTATATTTCTGAAATAAAGCTGAAATATATTTCCACAAATATATATATATATATATATATATATATATATATATATGTATATATAATATATCTAAAAATATAATATATATCTAAGTTGGTTCGGGTTTGGTTTTCACACATGAAAACCGAACCGAACCATCGGTTTATATTTTTTTGTAACCCAAAATCGACTGGTGCTGAAGAAAAACTGACAACTTGGGTTGGATCGGACCGGGTTGGTCGGTTTGGGTCTTGTTATTAACAGCCCTAATAGGTACAAGTCAACATGAGACAAATTATGTTTTTTTAAGGGTGTCAACGGTATTTGAAAATCTGATTTCGAATTCAAGATTTGACATGATTGAATCGAATTCGGATAATTCAAATATCTAACTGGTTGAATTTGTATATCCTATTCATACTGAATAGTTAATTGGATTCGAATTCGGATATGACCTGTTTTGATTCAATAAATATCCGAATTCAATCGATTATTTAATTCTTAAATATAATATATAAAATTTTTAAATGTTTTATATAATTTATATATAATAATTAAATTATATAAATATTTTATATATTTATATACTTTATATAAATAAAATATTTATTTTATATACTTATTAATTACCTAAAATAATTAATTAGTCAAATTCAAATAAAATCGAATAAAATATTTGAATATTTAAATAGATTCAGATTCGAATATTACCTAGTCTAATTCGAATTCAATCAGTTTACATCCCTACTTTTTTTCCTGGTCTTAAATCGTCTATGTCAAGATCTTCCGGGACCAAACAATAGTGTGATGGGTTGATTCTAGACACTTTTCTTGGCCCTCCAATATTGACCCTTTAGGTAATTAAAAAGTCATCTGATGATTATCTAAAAGAAAATGTTCTAGAAAAGGTTCAGAGGTTCAAAACCATGGAATAACGAGAGTAGGCTGGCATTATATGGTGTAAACATGTATGGACACTTGGACAGCTGCTTGGATTTGCGGGAGATTGAGGCCTCATGTTTGTCTAAACACTGATAGGTGATACAGCATTTATTCACAACTGATGCAACTCTCATTCTCTCAATGTAATAGTACAATGAAATAAGCTTTGATTGGGATTAGGCTGGACCATGAAGTTCTTTATGAGCCATATAAGGTGGTAAGCTTAGATTTATGTTGCATTTGGCATTCCTTATTTTTAAGACATTATCTTCTTTTTGCAATTAAAAACTTAGTGTTTGTTTGTTTATTTGTTTTTGTTTTTTTTAAGGGCTATGCAATGAGGTAGCCCATCCCCCAATTCAAGTGCAGGTGGGATTTGATTTCAAGTCTCTGCAAACCATTTGAACCAGCTAGTGGGCACCTTGCAATAAAATAAAATAAAATAAAATAAAAAATCAGATTCGAAAGAGGCATTTTAACAGAAAAAAGGAGATAACTCCTTAAAATAAGGAATGGCAAATGTAGCCTTTTAGGAGGATTGGCATACACTTGCCAAATTTGAGGGCCATTCAGTTTGTCTTTGTTTGATCGGTTCTTTAAATTAGTTATAATCATTTTCACTTAAATTGGTTATGCCTAAAATACTGAGCCATGGTTCAAAGTATCGATACCTTCTATATTGAAAATGGTTTCATTGCCATTTTTTTTGAGAAAATGGTGTCACGTCAATGCCACGTTAAGTTTTGAGAAAATGGCAAAAAACACATTGGTATATGTTGTTTGGTTAGCTGTTTTATCAAAAAACAAGAAAAAATTTTCACTGTTTTCTCAAAAAAAAAAAAAAATGGTGCATCTCAAAAACATCATTTTTGACGGTTTCTTTTTTATCTTTTCTCATAGTGTTTTCTGGTATGGTGGCTGATGTTTATGCATGGTGCCATTTTTCTCATAAAACATCAATGGAACTAAACTACACCCTGCATATATAAACATTTTCTCAAAAATTGCAAAAAACTCAGTACCATTTTTTTTTTTTGAAAAAACACAATGGCTCCAAACATGAATACTGTTGTGTGATACAGTGCCACAATTATCAATACATTGAACCTTGTACAGATAACAAACTTAAGCAAAGCCAGCCACATTAACTAAGGAGGTGTTTGGTACAGTGGTATTGCGTTGTTGTTGTGTTTTAAGTGGGTCAATACAAATTTGTGTGAGTTTTTTTTTTTTTTTTTACCTTAAACATTTGATCAATACAAATATCTATTTCTGCCTAAAATTTCAAATTGACGTTTTCTCAAATACATGCTTTTTTTAATTAAATGACACTCATATATGATATGGCATTGCATATTTCTCATAAATTTATATTAATTAACCCAAAATGCAAAGCCATAATGTACCAAACACCCCCTAAAATGGACTAAGGCTCAACTTACATGAACTAATTTCACAAATGATATTAGCAAGCTAGGTTCATTGGCATCCCTTAGCAAAAGGACCACCTAATTAATGACAAGACTAACATTTTAGGGAAAGCGACAAATTTCCTTCACAATAATTACACATCTTGTTTTAGAAATTATTCTTTTGTGACAAACTAAAAGAGAAAACAGAAGCTTTTAAGAGTAAATAAGCTTGAGGGTTTGTGCTTTTAATAGGCTTTGTGCTTTATATTGTTATCTTTCAAAAGCAACTGTTACCAAACATTCTAAAACTTTTTAGCTTATTTTTGTTTTCTACAGTCCAAAGCACAAAAAGCAAAAGCTTATCTAAATGTGGTCTAAGATTCTCTTTCTAAAGGAGTTCTTTTAGAGGGTAGGGCTTTGTAAGTTGGACTGGTTAGGTTCTTAGGGTAGAACCCTAAAAATCTTCCACATGGAAACATAGCTTATGGCTTATAGGAATCCTAAATTCTCTCTCTCCATCCATCATTAGGGGAACAAATTTCAACTCAAAAGCCCTTGCCAGCTATAAATCTAGCTTTTACTCTCCATATATAGAATGGTTTTGTTAGGGTTGCAAATGGATCGGATGTAATCGACCCAAATTTGATTAATTGATATTCGAATTGAAATTGAATCTTATCTATAGTTAATAAGTGAAACTAAAAATGATAAGAATATTATGCATTATTGATAAAACAAATTTTGATATTATATACCATGAATTAAATGGCTTGAAGACAACTCCTATGGGAATTGAACCTAAACACAAAGCATTTAAACCAATTATAAGAATAGATACATATTAATTTCATGTAGATAGAATTTGGATTGCAATGGATAGAATTTGGATTGCCTTGATTGGATTCAAATTTGAAAGGGGTGCAGCAAATGGATGGAATTTGGGTTCAAATTTGCACAGTATTGGGTTCAAACGAACACCGTTTGCAACCCTAGGATTGACTATATTATCTCTCTACCTGACAACAATGGGGCAGACAGGCAGAAAATTGAGAGGAAGTCCTTTAAGAATTTTATAAAAATTCTAAAGAACTCCTCAACCGTCTGATTGTCTTTTAGTTTCTTTTCTTCTATTTAAGGTTTTTTAAACCGACCCAGACAACGAATTATTAGGGGTCTGGTTCACGGGTTGAATGATCCGATCATTCGAACCAAATAGATGGTCTGTTTTAATAAAAATAAATAAAAAAATAAAAAAACAGTCAAAATCGTTGAATGGTTTGAATGGTTTGAACGGTTCAACTGCCCGAATCAGTGGTTTGCTGATCAAATCAACATTTTTTTGGCAAAAATCTGGTTTTGGAGAAAACCAGAATCGATCACCTAACCAGTTACTGGTTTTCCGGTCTGGTTTTGAAAACAATCCTTCTATCAACCCAAACATAACCTTAGTAATCTTCATCGAGGGCAATATGGTAATTCACGACAAATAAAATGCAAAGCAACTTACAAGGAAAAGGGAAATGGGAAAGGGAAAACAAGTGGGAAGTGGAAAAAGAAAAAGAAGAAAAAGGGAAAGCTTAGAAGAACTTTCCAAAACGAACAAGGGTTTAATGGTAATTTCAAATGAATAAAGAAAAGTCAATTACATTAGAGAGGTGTATTTATACGGAGGCAGGCCGTATACGTATACGTAGAAAAGAATACAAACTAGCCACGTAAATACTTGTAAACAATAAATGCTTTATTATAACTCGCCGTCTGAAGTGTTCTTTGTCTGCATTTTGGAATCGAGCGCAACTTCTGCTTCGACTGTGAAAGCGAGAGAGAAAGAGGAAGAGAGAGAGAAGACGAATCGATTACGAGAAATAAAATAAAGAACAAGAACTCTTTTTTAATCTGGCTTTGTTTTGGTTCATTTCTCTTTTGCTCTCTTCTTTTGTGCCCTAGATCTTGTGACAGAGCTAAGATCTCTACGAGAAGTTCTGTCTGTAGATCTTGGAATCGACATTCCTGTTTTGGAGTTGGAGATCTCCGGGGGTTCATTTGAGCTGGCGTGATCAGGTAGGACTGGTCATTTGCCTTGATTTGCTTGTTGGCTGTTGAATTCCGAGTGTTGGATTCGTTTGCACGTTGAATTGTTGAGCTCCTGGAGGTGTGTGGATGGGTGGGTTTTGGCGGGTTCTTGTTGGTGTGTTTGTCGATCGGTGTTGGTTGGGTTGAGATTCGTTTCCTGAGCTGGAAGCTCTGCGTTTTCGTCGTGAGGACATTGAGGTGTGGCTCCGAGCTGGACTGTGTTGTGTAGGGATGCCCGGAAATGTTGGCGGTTCTCATTTTAACGATTTCTAATGGCATTTCGTTGTAGTTTGGATTTTTGTTTTCATTCTCTGTTTGTGAGATAGGAAATCAGGGTCGGGGATAAACTTGAGATTCCTTGATGGCGAATCGTGGTAGAAATTTGAATTCTATTTGGCAGTGGGTTGGTTGGGTAGCTTAAGCGTATGGGTGGTGGATTTTTCCTTTTTGAATTTAATTAATTATCTTGATTGGTAGTTTTGGTTTGGTAGGATTGTTTTTGACTTTTCTTGCAACTGTGGTCACTTTTTAAAATTCCAGAAACTTAGAATTGAAGCATTTTATATGTCTTTCTCTTTTGTTTGTCGTTTCCTTTTTTCATCAACTGATTTCGAACCGTTTTTTCTATTTGATTTAAATAATGATAAAAACCGCAAGTGTTTCGTTGCTTGATTTGCTTGTGTTTTATAGAAATAACTGCATCTGCAGTACTTCTCATAACTGGTTTACAATTGAGCACATTGGTTAGGATGATTCTTGCAATCTGCTTTTTGTTTTGACAAAATAACTTGGAGAAACATCTGTTTGATTGCATGCATACGAACAAGCAAAACTAGGATTTTCTCTTTCATGGAGAACTATAAGCTTTTGAAAGCGTGCAGTTCACAAGTCCAAACTGCTAATAGAGTGCCCTTTGTTTCACAGTTTCAGATTCCTTTCCAGCTTAGTTGATTGAAGCTCTGTTGTTGGAGCTGCAGACTGCTAGATCCATTTATACTTAGTCTAAGATGCTCTTAGACTTCTACAGAAGAAGGAAGATGGTCTGAAGTTCTGATGAGATTACTCTAAATGAAGGCATCTCAGGCGTGGCGATTAGGCATTGGAGATTTGCAAATCATGCCTGCGCCGCGCCACCGGCCTCATTTAAAAAGGCCCATGTGGATAATTGTATTGGTTTCTTTGGTGAGCATGTTCCTAATTGGCGCTTATATTTATCCATCACGAGGTTTTGCAGCCTGTTACATATTTTCATCACGTGGTTGTAAGTCTTTCTCCGAATGGCTTCCACCTACTCCTGCCAGGGAACTTACTGATGATGAGCTGGCCTCTCATGTTTTCATTAAGGATATTTTAAAGATGACTCCTCTCCAATCTAGGAACCCCAAAATTGCTTTCATGTTCTTGACTCCTGGTACTTTGCCTTTTGAAAAGCTCTGGGATATGTTCTTTCGTGTAAGTTCTTTCTTACTGTTTATATTAATTCATTCTTGTACTAAATGTATGTATTCTTTTTTTTTTTTTTTGATCCATAACATTCATTTCTTTCTTTTTTGATCAATGATGGCAAATTTTATTAAGACAATGAAGCTTTAATTACAAAAGAGGGGGAGGTAAACTGTCTTAACTCCCCCAACAGCATAAAAAAGAAACAAAATTAGAAATGAGCCCAAAAAAAAGGAACCCCTATTCACCCCTTGCTTGGCTAGCCCATTGACAAGTGAATGAGCCTCTTTACCCAACTGTATTTAACCTCAATGTCCCTAGTCAGCCACTTAAGTTTTTTCTTTTCATTGCTGTAATTCCATATTACCAGAGCTGTCTTCCCTAGGCCATCTCACCACCAGATGTATTCTTTATTCATATGTTCTTGTTTTTGTGCTCTTTTAACTAATCCATCAACAACTTTGCATTTACCTGATTATGCAAGTTGTGGTGTATACACCATGTTTTTTTTTTGATAAATTGGTGTATACACCATTTTTGAGCTTCCATTTGGTTTCTCAAAAGTCAAAACTCAATTCAAAACACAAGCGTATAGATAATTGATTATATCATGCTTTTAGGTCCTTCCTGGTGCAGAATGTGTGCTTTGAGAAATGAGAAATTCCTGTTTCTTAGTAGTCTGTACACAAATAGAATTGATACCTTGTCAAGCTATATAAGAAATGACAAACTCCTTTTCTCCAATCAAACAGTAGAGGTTCTAGGACTAACACATAGATTTATTGGTCAAAATGGACAAAAGTGATCATGTGCAAGGTTATTCATGGATAAAAGTTTCAGGCATATAACAGAGAGCAAATTAAACCACGAAAGGAATTGGCTATTAAAGCAAGATACTTTGATTAATAATTTTTTTTTTTTTTTGAAGAATAAGGAAAAGATTTCATTAAAAAGAAAAAGGAGTACAATAGAAAGGTGATAAGGTATCACCCGAGAGAGATCCACAACTAAAAGACCCTTACAGAGACAGCAACAATCCCAAACCAACCCAAAGCCACACAAACAGACAAAGGCCAAACTCTACCGGAGAACAGATAAACACTCCAGAAAGAAAATGGAGACCCCTTGGACTGGGACCACCAGCAGCCAGACACCTGAACTGACTGAGCCTCTACCAGTGAAAGGAGCACAATCTCATACTTTGATTAATAATTATAGACCTCACCTTAGTTTGAAGGAGGTTGGTGCAATAGCCTTGACTATGGAGAAAAAAAAATCAGTTTTCTCTAGATTCCTCATACAATAGAAATTTCATAATTTTTAGTAATTTGAATTTTATTATTTTTGAGCTCTTTTTTTTTCAAGTTTATTCTAGTTTGTTGGTTTAGGAGTTTTAAGTTTTCTAGAAATTTATTGTTGTAAAAATTAAAATTTCTGTTTATAGTAACTTTAGACTTACTAATATTGTTCATTCATTCTTCCTAATAAGACAAATTTTTACAAGATAAGGAACTAAAACTAAATTATAAAACCAATATTTTAAGTATGAATTAAGAATTTATTTAAGACCCTAGTGTGGACTTATTTGCACTTGCCTCAAGGGGCTTGTTACAAAGAGGCTTGTAGAATTAGAGTAATGTGATGGGGAGAAAAATATTAATAAATATATTGTTATTTAATGTATTAGATCCTTGGAATTTCTAAGATACTTATCACATGCAAAATTGTAAATTCATAAATTTTAATTACTAAAATAACTATTGTGTTGTTAGCATTCTATTTTGTAAGCTATCAAAAAACTAAATATCACTTTTCACATAAATATGGATTAATGGATTTGATAGATCATTCATTTTATTAATATTTGCAAATACTAATTTTAGTGATACTTTTAATTTAAATTTTGGTTGAACATTTATATATTATACTATTTATTTGAAATGCATGTATTTGTCACAATAAATAATACTTGTTTTATGTTAATTATTTGCATAGCATTAGGAGTTGGCCATAGTCATTCTTCAAACTTAAAGGGTGTGTGGGTCAAATCTTGTTATTAGCATTGATAAAAAAACCTTGTTATTAGCATAAAACTTGATTTTTTTTGTAACCTATATTTAATAAGAGAGTAATGATGGGATTTGAAGGTGATTAATGTGTTTTGTTTGAAATTCAAAAGACTAATAAGGCACAATTAATGGTGCATCATATATATATATATATATATATATATATATATTGGCTGATAATGACTGTTACAAGTTTGCATGGGACAAATGGCATCAATATTGGTCATTCCACACATGCCATATGTTGCCTAACCTCAAACTGATATGATACACCCTGTATTGGGTGTATTGTGTTGATATTTTGAACCTTGGATATGGGATGACTAGTATAGGGATGCTTACCTTTGTGAAGAGTAATAGGGAGATTTACATCTGATGGATTTACCAATGGTGAGATTGATGATAGAGTGATAGGAACCTGAACTAGAGCTCTTGTCCTTTGCCTGGAAGACAATTTCAGTTGGTGACCACTTAGGCTCAATAGTAGTAGTAGGAAGAACATCAATAGACTTAACCAAAGAAGGAAGCAAATAGCTTCATTAACTTCAGAAAATGACTCTTTCCTAGAGAAGAGAGGTATGATCTCATAAAAGGTGACATTTAGAAAAACAAAAGACTTATGTAGTGTAAGATTATAACATTTGTAATATTTTGAGTCAATAGCCAAGAAAAATGCATTTCACAACTTGAGTATCAAGCTTATTAAAACCTGGACCAAGCTTATATACAAAACATACACAACCAAAGTACTTGAGGAGGAATAGGCATTCGAATTAATAATTCTTGAGTAGTATCAAGAAGATGACGACTCTTTGTTTAAGCCATACCATTTTGTTGTGGTGCATATGGATAAGGAGACTAAATGAATAATAGTACCATGAGAGTCAAAATAAGGCTAAAATGTGCTATGAAAATACTCTTCAACATTATCAAAATGAAAATCCTTTATAGAAGTACCAAATCGATTTTGAATTTTAGAGTGAGAAATATAAAGAATAACTTGGAACGATCTTTTATTTAATAAATTTATGTCATCCTTGAATAGTCATCATTAAAGCTTACAAAGTACTTGAACCCATTTTAAAAAGAAACATGACTAGGACTCTAAGCATTTGAATGAACAAGATCAAAAGGACTAATGGCTCTACTATTGACTCTTGGAACAAAAGAAACTGTGGTGTTTAGTAGTTTACATGACTTACAATCTAACACTATAACTAAATTCAACAATGGAAACTGATAAAGGTCAGACCTGCACTAGAATTCTGTTAGAATTAGAGGAAGATTAGAAGATATAGAAGAGAGAAGAGAAGAAGAGAAGAAGAGAAGAAAGGAGAAAAATCCAACTTGATTGCCACTCCCTTTTTCTTTAATCTCCTTTGAGCCTCCACACATTCATTCGCAATCAGAATCTGATCAACTATCTGCCTATCTTGTACAAAGGCTCCTTGAGATTGTGAAATAAGTGGGGGAATCACCTTCTTAATCCTCAAAGACAACACCTTTTCTATTACCTTGTAGATACTGGTGATTAGACTAATGGGTCTAAAGTCCCCGACTATTTAGCAGTATTCTTTTTCGGGATTAACCAATGAACGTAGAGTTCATATCTGGAGTAATAACCCTTCTTCTATAAAACTCCCTAAACACTCTGAGAAGATCATCTTTGATTATGTCTCAACAATCTTGATAAAAAGCCATTGTAAATCCATCGGGCCCTAGAGCTTTTGATCTATTCATAGAAAGCACTCCTCCTCCTCCTCAAACCTCCTTTCTGAAAAATGCACTTGAGTCCATAGTTTTCAAGGTGCCTAAGCGAGGCTAGGCAACCATAGGGCACCCAGGCGCCTAGGCGTTGGAATTTTAAAATGTTTGTTTTATTGAGTTTTTACTCTATATATGCTTTTCTAAGTCATTTTATTGGTTTTGTGTGCTAACTAGCAATCATGTACACTAACTATTAACACTATGAATCATTCAAATGAGTATAAATTTCATATAAAAAGCTAAAAATATAAAATATTATCAATAAAAAGGAGTCTAAACTAACTAACTAACTAACTATATATATAAGTAGAAATCACTGCTTGTAGATTTAGTTGAATTTCTTGTGAAAGGAAAAGGGGAGGAAGATAAAGATTTCAGTAGTAGAGAAGAAAAGAGAGGGAGAAAAGAGTAAAAAGTCAACCAGGATTCTTGAATTAACCCTAGCTGCCAACCCCTCATTATATTTATACTTAACTTAAAGGATGAGATATTACAAGGATGCCCTTAGTAGCGCGACTACTAATGTAGCTGAACAGTCACAACATAAAAACATAAACTAATGGGCTTAAAGCCCAACAACTTCCTAACTAAATAGCTTAAAATAAGAATAAAAAACAATTAGGCCCAACTCAACACTCCCCCTCAAGTTGGGAGTAAATGTCACACATTCCCAACTTGCGTAGATCATGCTCCAGCTTATTCTTTGCAATACCTTTTTGTGAGAACATCCACGAACTGCAGATCGGAAGCAATGTATGGAAGACAAACTTCTCTAGAAGTTACTCTTTCTTTGATAAAATGTCTATCCACTTCAATGTGCTTAGTTCGGTCATGCTGGACTAGGTTATGGGCAATGTTAATTGCTGCCTGGTTATCACAGTATAACATCATAGGTTCTTCCGCTTGTATACCAATTTCTTCTAATAGGGAATGGATCCAGAGAAGTTCTAAAACTCCATGTGCCATGGCCCTGTATTCAGCTTCAGCACTTGATCTTGCCACTACTGTTTGTTTCTTACTCTTCCACGAGACAAGGTTACCCCCGACAAGGGTGCACACTCCTGAAATTGATCTCCTTTCATCAAGGCATCCTGTCCAATTTGCATCTGTATAAGCCTCTAGTTTCAACTATCCATGATCAGTAAACAATATGCCTCTGCCCAGGTGTCCTTT